ATCGTCATCAATCATCATCATGATCTTTATCAATCATCATCATAATCTTCATCTTCACCATCGTCACCATCACCATCATCACTATCGTCATCATCGGCTTCATCAATAATCATCATCATAACCACCACCGCCATTATCATTATCATCGTTATTATTCATCATCAACATCATCACCACCATCATCATCATTATCATCATCATCTTTATCAGTCATCATCAACATCATCACCATCACCATATCATCACCACCACCACCACCGACCATCATCATCATCGTTATCATTCATCATCATCATCATCATCACCATCATCATCATCATTATCATCATCCTCTTTATCAGTCATCATCAACATCACCATCACCACCACCTTCACCATCATCATCATCATCGTTATCATACGTCATCATTATAATCGCTATGCGCCAACACCAATGACATTTTCTTCACTTGCTCATACAACACCATATCATCACAGTCACTCTAAGCTATGTATTACCCGCTATCGTGGTTTTGATATGAAGATATTTGCTCCACAGTCCTTGTCCCACCATGTTCTTTACGCTCATTCTCACATCATAGTTTGTATAGGGCTTGAGGTTCGTCAAGGTGAAAGGAGAAGCTTGATGACCAGCAGATATAGTCATGATAGAACTCTGGTTGTTTAACTCTATTAGACAGCCACTAATTGCTCCTTCCTTAACAGTCGGGTTTGGCAAGATCCAGCTCAGGCGTATATAACGTTGGAATGGAACTGCTGTGACAAAAGGAGCTTGTGGCACATCTTGAAAAAATAAATAAATAAATAAAAAAAAGGGAAATTTTCCCAAATATTAAACGGCAGTTCAAAGTTTTAGAATACAACAGTCAATGTTCTCCACGCTAAATATAGCAGCAATGCATTTTAACCTGTTTAATTTTTGGGGGGAATCCAACATCTTAACTGTGCAACTGGAAGGGTTTTTTTCGTTTTTTATTTTATTTTTTTATTTTGTTATCAACAAACCACATTTTTGGAAAGTAAAGGTGTTAACTGTAATTTTATGTGCACATACTTAGATTCACCGTTACTTTCACCGATGACTCATCTATTCCTCCGCTTGCCACGTAGTTTGGGTACGTTGCTCTACAAGTGTAGAATGTGTTACAGACCGCAGCTCGTGTGTTGGGATCTTGTCTCGTACAGTTGTACTTGGACGCCACGTCTTCAGTAGAGGTAAACTGTACTTGTAGTGTTGATTGTGTTGCACCGTTGATCTTTGTTCCATCGTTAAACCACTGTAAGTCAGGTGTTGGTTCACCCAGTATACCACATGCTATTGTTTTAGGGGACTTGGGAGTTGAAAGAACGACTTGTGGAATATCAACTGCAGCTTTAGGTAAATTAACTAGAGCGATATTTGAAAAATAAAATAAGAAAGAAGCCAGGGAAATAATAATAATAATAATAATAATAATAATAATAATGATGATGATGATGATGATGATGATGATATTTTACAACCACCACTCCCCATACGGGGCTCTTCTGTGAGGTTCCCTCCACACGCACTACCACTACATTCTATATTTACAACATACAACACTCAACTCACATGTTGATTTTTACGAAGGGAGGAAACCGGAGAACCCGGAGAAAACCATCGTAGCACAGGAGAGAACAACACATCAAACAAACTCAATTCACACGTGGCGACCGCAGGGCTCGAACCAGCGACCCGACCCGTTAGACTCACAGCGGTGAAAGACGCATTAGCCGCGAACGCCACCCATGCTAAGAATGTTATGTACGTAACACAAAGAGTCGCAATGTGAACTGTTTATAGCACTACAGGTCATTGAAAAATATTAGGTTCTTGCTTATAACTTATTTGCTTACCAATATCACAGCCGTAGAGATCAAAGCGTACACAGGTTCCATTGTGCCAAGCTTGGGGAAGAATTCTGACATAACGCGCAGCTATTGGGCGAGAGAGCCACTGCACAATAACGTCTTTCCTATTTGTATTGCCAACGAAGACCTTGAGAGATAAAAACAATCACAACATGAAATTTTTGATAAGAGCAAATCAAAAATTTGTAATCAAAAATCCTATTTACCTTTGAAAACTGTCCTTCTTTGTATTCGTTCCAGTATCTGTTATCAAAGCTGTACCTGACTTTATATGACGTCACCCACTTGTCCAAAGCCTTGTCACCTTGTGTTGCAATACCTGTCACTGTCTTGATCTGTCCAAGGTCAACCTGTATGTACTCGCTATTGGATGTATTGGAGCTACACCATGAGGAGTTACCATAGAGACGACCACGTGGTGCAGTATGGTAATCATCCGATGACGAATGTGACGTTATTTGATTGTCTGGTATTTGCGAATTCTCAAGACCAAGCGACGAGGTGCAAGCTGTGTTGGTTTAATAGTGTATAATAATTACCCCAACGAGTGGAAAAATTACTTTATTGTTGATTAAAAGGCCTTTTGAAAAAAATTCGCTTACCTGAAGGGAGTCCTTTGAAATCAACACGCATGGTTTTGTGCGAAACGTATCCAGTTGGTAAGATACGGACAAACTTGGCTTTAAATGGGTTTGTTATTGAATTTGTAACCGCTTTACGGTTGCCTACATTTCCAGGAAAATTCTATTTCCCAAGATAAACAAGCAAAGTAAGTGGTTGGTCCTGAAATAACTACTTACTACCGATTATTATTACGTATATGATAAAGACAAAAATTTCAATTCTTTTAATGATGAAGATTAAGGCACAGACACACGGTGCAACAGTGCTCGCAACATTGCAGGCAATGCTGCTRAAGTAGGATAGTTTTCTATTTCAACAACGTTGCGTGCAACAAATTCTGTCGTGTGTCATGGCTCGCAACATCAATTGCATGCAACATTGCGCACAATGTTGGACCGTGTGGATGTAAACTTGTAAAAAGTGGATGTGAACTCTTAAAAAACCTAAACTATGATTAATGATATAGGGCATTTTCACTCACGTGAGAAGGCCAGAATATTGATGTACCAAACAGTAGAAACCTTCTGCACAGTTTTTGGATAAGAATAGAGTTTAAGTCCCCGAGGATAGAAAATGTATTGTTTTGGTACACCAATTAACATGGCCGCTGTGACGTCACCTGAAAACGCTCTATGCGGAGTACCTTTTCTACTCCACTCTCGTTGTAGGTAGTCCACTGAATGTCATCCTTTGAGTACATAACTTTGTAATTTGTGACATATTCAATTATGTGCCTCCAGTTGATTCCCTGAGTAGCTACAGCACATACGTAGAACATATCACCAAGGTCTATCTGTAAATAGTCATCATCTAAGTTCGTTTTTGGTGCCCAAGAGGCTCTCTCTTCATTAAGTCTACTACCATAAGCTGGGTAGCGTTTGTTAAAGACGGATGTCGCTGTAAACCTGTGATCTGGTACCAAACTATGATTTGGTATACCAACGCTGTGACTGGAACAACCTGAAGGRAAAAGAGTCAACTGATGATTTATGGGTTATAATATAGTATCCTATTCGCATCATTCCCTTTCACGCTCGTTAAAT